CCCAGGACGCGGATATAGTTTATCGTTACACCCAGGACGCGGATGTAGTTTATCGTCTTACCCAGGACGCGGATGTAGTTTATCGTTACACCCCAGGACGCGGATGTAGTTTATCGTCTTACCCAGGACGCGGATGTAGTTTATCATCTTACCCAGGACGCGGATATAGTTTATCGTTACACCCAGGACGCGGATGTAGTTTATCGTCTTACCCAGGACGCGGATGTAGTTTATCGTTACACCCAGGACGCGGATGTAGTTTATCGTCTTGCCCAGGACGCGGATGTAGTTTATCGTCTTACCCAGGACGCGGATGTAGTTTATCATCTTACCCAGGACGCGGATATAGTTTATCGTTACACCCAGGACGCGGATGTAGTTTATCGTCTTACCCAGGACGCGGATGTAGTTTATCGTTACACCCAGGACGCGGATGTAGTTTATCGTCTTACCCAGGACGCGGATGTAGTTTATCGTTACACCCAGGACGCGGATGTAGTTTATCGTCATACCCAGGACGCGGATGTAGTTTATCATCTTACCCAGGACGCGGATGTAGTTTATCGTTACACCCAGGACGCGGATGTAGCTTATCGTCTTACCCAGGACGCGGATGTAGTTTATCATCTTACCCAGGACGCGGATGTAGTTTATCGTTACACCCAGGACGCGGATGTAGTTTATCGTCATACCCAGGACGCGGATGTAGTTTATAGTCTTACCCAGGACGGACGAAGCGAAGGGTAAACACAATTAGATAATAATAATAATAATTCACATTGCTAAAATGGGTCTAAATACTGAGTAGGGTGCTGGAGTATTGAGTAGAAGTGCTGCCAATTATTTCCCAGTGTCGCCCACTGCTGGATATTTCATGTAAACACTCAAAGAATTGATAGGAATGGTAAAAGTTCACAACCGAAGTAAGAGGAGATTCCCAGAAAAGATTCCAAGGTTTAGTCATTTATTCAGAATTTTGGACAAGCCAAGGATTTTCCACCATCCTCTCCTTAATAACGACCAGTTCAAAACATTAATGCATCGGTAAATCTAAATGAAGAGTTTGCGGATATTTTCACCAAAGAATTTATCTTTTTCTCCGAGATGTTTTTTTTTTTTTTTTTAAAGCGAGCATATTTTTTTCCCTGTTTGTAATCGCTAAATGTCGGCGTTCCACTTGCGTTTTTTATGTGATTAGCGTTAACGAACGCGTTTTATTCCTTCTTTTGTCTGTCTGTGTGTCCGCCCCTGTGTTGCGCTTGGATTGTGTGTGGGAAAAAGACAGCGGCTCAGACTGAAAGGTGACCCTGATAAATGCCATCTGCTCTACGCATGAAGTCATGTCATTAATAGCTGGCCTCGTTCTGGGGACAAGCTGCATGCCGTCTCAGTTTTCCTTTGATTGTCCAAGCTGTCGTTTTCTGTTGTTGCCGTCAAATGAACTGCGTTGAAACGTGCGTTTTAGATGGGTCAAATAGACGCCTCTTGCTAATGGTAATATAACCCATTTCCCTGTGTTTATTGACTGAGCAGCCAGCACTTTTTTCGGTTGTAATTTATAAAAACAAAAATTCTCTTAATACATTTTTTTTCTGAAAAATAGGTTTCTCATGTTCAGTAGCTGTTATGGCTCTTTCCAGCCTTGATTACTTTGTTTATTTAGCGGCATATCAACTCCGTATGTATCATTTCGTGCCGAAATTTAATTGAGGACATTAGTAATTTCATTTACAAAAATGTACTACTGGCCTTTTTTTTTAAATATATATATATATATATATATATATATATATATATATATATATATATATATATATAAGGCTAGAATATGTAAAGCTTGTGATGACCCATGCCCTTTGTGCCTCCATGAAAAATTGCACATTATTAAACTTCAAAATAATAATAATCTATTAAATAATAGACACGAGTTAACGGTTTTTTGTAGGCATCATCAGATTTTTGGTTTGAATTATGAGATAAAAACAAAAAAAAAAATTTATATAACTTGTTTAACAAATAGCCCAATCATCAGATTCATAGTAGGATTAATTAACTACAAACATGCATACAACATAACACCCTTCATAATCCATAGCCCAAATTAGTAGTTTAAATACCTTACATAAAAGATAACCCTTTATGAAGTCGTCAAAAAACAAACGTTACGAAAGTTTTGTTTTTTTATATGCACAATTCCCTTTCATAATAAAATAAAATAAAATAAATAAATAAATATCCATAGACAAGCAAACTAGACGAAGGTTAATACATCTTCCGTTTCATTTTAGACACCCCCACCTTTCCCCGACTTGACACCTTGAAAGTATCTCTATACCGCTACTTATTATTAACACCCCACACTCGCCTACCCAATTTAGACAATTCACCCTAGCTGTTACCATGGGGATTTTGATTTCAATTTTTAAAACAAGTAAATTTCAGATATACGTTATTCCAACAAAAATTTCACTTGAAGATGGAACGGAGCCCATTTTAATTTCAACTCAATTTAATTTAAAGGATTATATTGAAGTTTTCGGCTCTTGTTTTGAAACATGAGACCTCTTATGTAGCGATTTGGAATCATATTTTTAAATAAATAATTATATATATATATATATATATATATATATATTGCTGCTATTTTTACTATAAACATCTATTTTTACACTTTCATAACCCTTTGCCTCAGATTAGGGGTTAACTATTTACCCATAATTGGAACCTTGATAGGCGCTACCATCCCGGGTCCGAGTGGACCTAGACACAACAGCGATCAAAACCGCCCGGTCAGAGGTCTTGCTGCCAAGTGTAATTATGAAGTTTATAATCCTGAATCTTAAAATCGCGAATGTCGAAATCCTGAAATTAAAAATCCCGAAATTTGAAATACCGAATTAATAAAATCCTGAAAGATCAGAACACGCGAAAAATAGTTTTTGGTGAGAAATTGAAACAAATACCTTCCAATATATATATATATATATATATATATATATATATATATATATATATATATATGAAAATATATAGAAAATAGGAAAGAACTGGTTAGGTTCAAAAGTTCCTTCAAATTTTAGTTATTATTTTTAAAAATAGTTTCGATATCAAAAAAAGTAGAGCATAAATATAATTATTTATTTAAAAATATGATTCCAAATCGCGAGATAAGAAGTCCCATGTTTCAAAACAAGAGCCGAAAACTTCAATATAATTATTTAAATTAAATTGAGTTAAAATAAGCTCTGTTCCATCTTCAAGCGAAATTTTTTTGTAATAACGTGTGGGTGGAGCGGCACAGCGTTTGGACGTTAGAATTAAACAACACGTACCTGCTATAATACTGAATAAAAATTTTTCGTTTGGCGATACCATTCGTAACACATATGGTTCTTCGATTGCGGATCACTTTATAAAGAATCCCACTTGTGCGATGGATTTCAGTGTGAACTGGTTTTCCGTTTGGGCCAGTTCGCACTCATTATTTCATCTTAAGGTGTTGGAGACGCTGTACATCAGGTCCAGGCAACCTGCTCTTTGTAAACAAAGAAATTGTTTGCTTGGACTTGTTGTGCTGCGCTTCTAGCATCTTTGGTGGTATCATTTTTATAATTATATTTTTCTCCTTGTCCACTCATTCATGTCATCCATGACAGACTTTTTTTTTCTTTTCCTCAAAATTTGTCTTCCCCGTCAACAGTTCTGATGAGAGGGGACGAAACCGGTCGACTGGTTGTGTTTTTGTTTTAAATCTATCATGGCCTATAATATAAAATGTCTTGCTTTTTTTATGCCATAATACGTTTCTGTACTGTTTCAAAGATATATATATATATATATATATATATATATATATATATATATATATATATATATATAATATATAAAGTGAACATAGAAGTGAAAACTTACACTGTTCTATGCATATGCAATCGTCAGGCCAGACGATTGCATATAGCATGAAACAGACTGTCGCCTATAGTGTTGACTTCTATGTTCACTTTTATATTTACACACGCTCTATCTCTGATATCGAGCACTTTATCCCATAAATATAGCACACCTTAAGACTATATTTCTTCATATATATATATATATATATATATGTGTGTGTGTGTGTGTGTGTGTGTGTGTGTGTGTTTTAAAAATCGACAGACAAGGTACTACGGTTAAGCTTTTTATTTAATTTTTCTTGTGTTCGAACAAGAGCTTTCTTTTCTGGACAAAGGGTGTGGAAAAAATTGTCCAAATGTTTTATAGTTCCGAGCGCTTTCGGCTATACCTTTAGCCATTATCAAGGATGGTTCGATTTTTAAGCTACACGCATAGAACATACACTGGATATTTCAGTAAACAATTCCTCATCAATGTGCAATATATTGCTAATGGACAACATCCGAGGCTTCGTAGAAAATATTTGCACCAACGCCTTGTTATCAACAATTCCAATAAGTGTGGCTGATTCTTCACAAGACCTCACCACCCTAAACAAATCTTTTGTGTGGATAGTCAGCAGTTCAGTTCTGTGTTCCTTCTTTGCTATTTCACCTGAGCAACAAGTCCACTGGCGAGAGAGTTAAGGCGACGGGCCAGGTACAGGATTTAAGACTGAACTAATAGACAATTATACGTCAAAATCAACGGAACGCCTATCATATATATATATATATATATATATATATATATATATATATATATATATATATATATATATAATATCAAAGGAAAAAACTTAAGATTTCACGAAAGATTGATTAACTATTGTAAGTGGGGGTGATATGATGTCTGGAGTAGTTCACCAGTAGCAGTGGTTTACCTACTCCACGCCGTTGGCGAGTATTTTATTTTGTTGATGTTATTAAAGATTACCATTTCATTTCTAACCTCCATTTTGGTTATTCCCCATTCAGTAACCTTTTCTAGATTACAACGCTTTTTTTCTTTCATTCTTTCTTTCTTTTTCCTTGTTTCTTTCTTTCTTTCTTTTCTTTTCTATATAGCTCTCCTTTCTTTCTTTTCTTTTTTTTTTTTTTTTTCTTTCTTTTCTTTTTTTTTCTTTAAACTCTCTTTTCTTTTCATTCTTTCTTTCTTTTTTCCTTCTTTCTTTCTTTCATTCTTTCTTTCTTTATAACTCTCCCTTTCTTTCTTTCTTTTTTCTTTTTTCCTTCTTTCTTTCTTTCTTTTTTCCTTTTATCCTTCTTTCTTTCTTTCTTTTTTCCTTCTTTCTTTCTTTGTTTCTTTAAAACTCTTTCTTTCTTTCTCTTTTTCACCCTTTCGTTTTCACCATCTCACTTTTATTTTCATACACGCACCTTCTCTTTCCCTTTCTCGTTTAACCCCCTCCCTCTTTTACTCTCTTTGTCTTTCTTTTTTACTCTCTTCCTCTCTCTCGCTCTCTCTCTCTCACACACACACGCACTTTCACTTGTAGTCTCTCTAAATTTGCCTTTGTCTCTCTCACTCTTTATTTATCTCTTTCTAACTTTCTCGTTATTTCTCTTGCCCTTTTACTTACTTTCACTTTCTCTTTGCCTCTCTCTCTCTCTCTCTCTCTCTCTTCTCTTTCACACTCTCTCTATCTTTCTGTTATACTCCCCCTTACCTTTTCTGGGTGTTTCACTCTCATTGTCTCTGTCTTTTTCCTTCTCTCTCTATCTCAGTTATTTACTCTCCCTTTCTCATTCCTTCTGTCTCTCTCTCTCTCTCTCTCTCTCACTCATTCAGTGCATCTCTCTTTCTCTTTTTTCTTGTATTCTTTCTTTTATTTTCTTCTCCTCTTTCATTCTCTTTACACACACACACACACACACACACACACACACACATATATATATATATGTGTGTGTGTGTGTGCATGTGCGTGTGTGTGTGCGTGTGTGCAAATATATAAAAAAATAGGTAAGAACACGTTAGGTTAATGAGCCGAAGTTCTTTAGTATTTTTTGTTTTTATTTTTAAAAAAAAGTGCCCAATACATAAGTAGAGCCTAAATTATAATCATTTAAAAAAAATCATATTTAAAAAAAAATAATTATAATATATATATATATATATATATATATATATATATATATATATATATATATATCGCCTATTCTGTGCAGGTCCAAAAGAAAAATGATTTCCATGCACTTCGCAAGACAACCTTTCCCACCACATACAAAAAAATCGCCATCTTTCCGTGCACGCCCCGCGTTTTAGAGTAACACACACGATTCTGTGTCAAGGAGAGCTTCCTCGCCCCTCACCAGGGCCACTCCCTTCCCCACATCACTTCCCTTCCCCAATATTCCCTACGCACCCACTCGCCATCTCCCTGTACACATGCCAAAGATCAGAATGGTTACCTATTTGCACGGGTTGACTCATTCACCTTCCAGCAGCCACAGTTACTCCTTCCCCGCGTCATCGTCTTCGCCATTTACTCCCTTCCTTCCCAACTGCATTTCTGCTTCACACATTTTCACACCATCCACCCACCGTTCTCTTCCGCCATCACACCTGCATTCATCTATATAGATACTTTGAGAAAAAAATAAAACAAAAAAAAAACCACACACACACCTTCAGTCACAATGATCTACACGTTTAAATTATTAAGATCTGTTTTTTCTATACGAAAGACGAGACTACCGTACGGAGTTCGATCCTTACTCGATTCTTCTCAATTATGACATCGTGCCAATTCAAACAGCTTCAGCAAATATGTTCCTTTCATTTGGATGTCATCTTTGACGTCCAATTCATTTAGAAATATCAAAGCTATTATCTTGTATAGTTACTTTTTCGCGGATAAGCGGTTAAAAGGGGTTTCAAACGAATTTAATATACAAACCTTAAAGACTCGTCGACAGCATCCGTCCGTCTCGGGAGACGATGGAGTAGGGCTATAGGTGCTAGCCTCTGGTGACTGTGATGTCTTGCGACGTCGCTGGAGTGTTTTCTCCAGTCCGCTATGAGCCTGGTCGGGACGTATGAAGAACTAGGGCTGCCCGGACGTCTAGTTCCCCATCTCGGCCTTGCTATCAGAGTCCAAAGGAGAGAATAAACCAATACAATTTGGTACCAATGCGGCTTCAGGTGTTGCCAGAAGGTAGCATAAAGTGCCGTCAATCCGACTTAGGGGCTCCACTCCGGATTTGTGTAGGGTTTACTACTTAGCCTTTTCTTCTCCCGAAGATTAAAGACTATCCTTTATAAAAAAAAAAAAAACCATCAATAGGCGTTACATAATCACAAAAACTTTACCAAATAACAAAAAAGATTTCGGATGCAATGCCATGTGTCGCATCTAGACATATGGTCCTGTTGTTTATATTATCTCTCACGTGGTATGACGTCGTAGATCCGCATCACGAATTTACGACCTGAGTCCGCTATTCCGCGACTGGTACTGTCGCATAGCAATCTTGAATGTCAACGTAATAAAATACCATATTTGACGGTGAATATCTTTGTAAAAATATCCATATAACCACTCTGAAGATGGCTCATGCGAGTCGAAAGGTTAGATCAAGGAACAGCATAAAAATATATCCAAACGTTGGACAATTTTTGTTTTCATTTTCTCCCGAAATTAAAGCAAATATACGAAGCTTGGAACGACTTATGATCAAACATAATAGACATTCGCTGTCTCTTATATTTGAGAAAGGCATGAATCCAACTTTTCTCCACCCAGCTATGGGTTAATTAGTAAGACTTGTGTCACTAACTCATTATTATCCGCGCCCAAATTTTTACAATCTAAAAATATTTCATAGCTTTAAGTAACTTGCAATGGGTTGATAAGCCGTAAAAAAGGGATCAGTCAATTAATGAAATACTTATTGGCTAGACAGGCGTGTCTTTTTAGATTTGTTTACATTCTCTGGGATATAAATCTATAAAAACTACCGTGGCCACAAAGTGATGTATCATTCTATATATTTATTGTAACATAGAATTAATCCCCCTCAATATATCGATATTACAATTTTTTGTTTGTTTGTCAAATTCTGATTAGGTATGACTCTACCTTTTCTCCCTCCATTTTGTAAGATTTCTATTCTCTCTCTTCGTTATTTTTATAAGCCTTAGAAAACGAATGAATGAATCTCAAAACAATCCCATGAGTACTAGAAGGTCTGTAATAGGGACATTTGTTCCAAGAGGGCTAATTTCTTATTTCTCTCTAGTAACAACCATTGGGTAAAAGGAAAACATGGCCGAAATGTTTGAAGTTATTTTTATGATTCCTTCTGTATTTAAACTGAATATATTTTCTGATAAATGTAGTATTTTAAATGAACAAACAATTTAGATTTAAAATTTGATCATCTTCCTATTGGCGACCCTATGAAGTAATCTTTATGATTCCTTCTGTATTTAAACTGAATATATTTTCTTATCAATGTAGTATTTTAAATAGACAAACAATTTAGATTTAAAATTTGATCATCTTGCCGTCGGTGACCCTATGACGCCATCTTTATGATCTTTTCCGTATGTAAACTGAATATTTTCTTATAATTAAGTGTTTTAAATGAACAAACAAATTAGATTTTAAATTTGATCATCTTGCCGTCAATCAAGAAGAGGCAAGTACCTAACGAATAATAATAATAATAATAATAATAATAATAATAGATTTCCTGTTGGAAATTCAGCCAAATCCCCACAAAGTCCGTTTTAGTGACTCGACTGAGAATTAGGCGGGAATGTCAAGCTTTGAACTTTAAATAGGAATCAAATCTCAAAATTCGGCTCAGATTTCAGCGCCATTATTTTTCGCTCGTCCTGACACTTCACTTATGTAATAATCCCTCAAGTTCTCTCCTCTTCACATAGTTTCACAAATACTTGATGGAGAAATCGTCTGTTTGATGCTATAAATCGCCAGACAACGTTTTTAATTCGCTCCAGTCTCTTGTGAATGGCGAATCCCAGAATTCCAACTAAAGGAAGCTTCGAATTTCTCTCTTAGGCAAAGATCCGGTCATTTATCTACATATTTTTATTATTATTATTATTAGTAGTAGTAGTAGTAGCATTAGTATTATTATTAGGAGTATTATGATTAGTAGTAGTATTAGTATTATTATTAGTAGTATTATCATTAGTAGTATTAGTATTATTATTAGGAGTATTATTATTATTAGTAGTAGTAGTAGTATTAGTATTATTGTTAGTAGTAGTATTACTAGTAGCATTATTAGTAGTATTATTAGTAGTAGTATTATTATAAGTAGTAGTTGTAGTAGCAGTCTTATCTATCTATCTCGAGATACTTCAAAGTAGTATTATTATTAGTATTAGTATTATTATTATTATTATTAGTAGTAGTAGTAGTAGTAGTAGTAGTATTAGGAGTATTAGTATTATTATTAGTAGTAGTATTACTAGTAGTATTATTATTAGTATTATTATTAGTATTAGTAGTAGTAGTAGCAGTCTTATCTATCTATCTCAAGATACTTCAAAGTAGTATTATTATTAGTATTAGTAGTAGTATTAGTATTATTAGTATTGTTAGTAGTACTAGTAGTAGTAGTAGTACTAGTATTATTAGTATTATTATTAGTAGTATTAGTATTATTATTAGTAGTAATAATAGTATTACTACTAGTAGTATTATTAGTATTATTAGTAGTTGCATTATTATTATTATTAGTAGTAGTAGTAGTTTATTTGTTTTGACTTCTGGTGTGTACACATTTCCTTCCTAGTCCCCACCTCAGGTCAGAAATGACGTCATGACATTTTTCATTCAGCATTTTTTAGAAAAAACAACAACAAAAAATAAAAACCCCTACAGAAAAACGTAGTCCACACACAATTTACATAGATAAAGCCCTTCTTAAGACGGGAGCTGTACTTGTGAGTACAAATTTTTTTCTATTTCTTTACGGCATGGGCTACCAGGAATCCCTTCAATGAGTCTATCGGAACCTTTTCCAATAAATCCGAGAACTCTAATTACAACTGGAATTACCGATATCCTCATGTGCCATATTTTTTTTAGATTTCCACTTGAAGATTCTTGTATTTTGATAGTTTCGTGAAGGTCTTCAAAAGTTCCATTACACTCTGAAGGTAGTTCCATGTCAATAAGAAAACACAATTCTGTTTTTTGTTGTTTTTGTTCCCGATATCAGGGCGATTAGCTTTGATTTATATGTCTGTGTGTATTGTTAAGTTCCATAAAATTGGTACAGGTCCAATTTCTGTAACCGGTTCTGGGTGATGTTCATATCAGTTTCTTGTGGTTTCTTTTCGTAAAAATTGCATATATTCCACTGCACATATTGGCCCACTCAGTGGGTGCTAACGCCTTGCAACATAATACAAAATGATTGATTGTTTCTGGATATTTATCACAGAATGTGCATTTGGGGTTAACACATTTTTTCAGTTTGTTTTGCCTTGTTTTACGGTATATCAACCTCAATTGTTCATTTAATACCGACAATTTTTATTGCTGATAACTTTAAAAAAATGGTATTGCTGGTAATATTTCTTCACTCAAAAAATCTATTTCTGGTAATGTGTTTTTCTTCAAAAATCTATTTTTGGTAATATGTTTTTTTCCAAAAATCTATTTCTAGTAATATGTTTTTCTTCAAAAATCTATTTCTATTAATAAGTTTTTCTTCAAAAATCTATTTTTGGTAATATGTTTTTCTTCAAAAATCTATTTCTAGTAATATGTTTTTCTTCAAAAATCTATTTCTAGTAATATGTTTTTCTTCAAAAATCTATTTCTAGTAATATGTTTTTCTTCAAAAATCTATTTTTGGTAATATGTTTTTCTCCCAAAATCTATTTCTAGTAATATGTTTTTCTTCAAAAATCTATTTCTATTAATATGTTTTTCTTCAAAAATCTATTTCTGTTAATATGTTTTTCTTCAAAAATCTATTTCTCGTAATATGTTTTTTTTTTTTCAAAAATCTATTTCTCGTAATATGTTTTTTTTTTTCAAAAATCTATTTCTGGTAATATGTTTTTCTTCAAAAATCTATTTCTAGTAATATGTTTTTCTTCAAAAGTATATTTCTGGTAATATGTTTTTCTTCAAAAATCAATTTCTGGTAATATTTTTTTTTCAAAAATGTATAATGTAATAATGACTTACTGGTAATATTTTTTTTAAAACGGATTTCTGGTATTAAAACCTATTTTTACACTTTCATAGTGTTTGCGCGCCAGTTTGTGGGTTAAATATTTGCCCATAGCTAGGACCCTAACAGACGCTACCACCCCGTGTAAAGGTCAACCTGGGAACACCAGCAATTAAGCGGTGGTTCCAAGCTCCTCAAAACCTCCTGATTAGAGGCCTTACTGTCGAACTTAGTTTATCGTCTTACCCAGGACGCGGATGTAGTTTATCGTCTTACCCGGGACGCAGATGTAGTTTATCGTCATACCCAGGAAGCGTTCGTAGTTTATCATCATGCCCTAGACGCAGATGTAGTTTATCGTCTTGCCCAGGACGCGGATGTAGTTAATCGTCATACCCAGGAAGCGCATGTAGTTTA